TATATATATATATATATATATAAATCAACAACTACCACAAATCAATTACAAAAGGATTAAAACAACTAACTGCATAAAAAATGGACAATTCAAACTTTAAATATTAGTATCTGTCAAAAATTTTAATTTAAATTATTATAGAAGAACAACAACTTCTCTTCTATATCACCAACTTATGGAAACATTGAATTATTATCTAACAATTTCGAACACGAGGTGTCTGTACAAGCTATGGCGCGATGCGAGGGATCAGGTCTTGGTTCGAAAAAATTTCGGCTCGCTTTCCGCCATTGGCGCTCCCTCTCCCCGTCCGCTCTCCGTCGCCGGAACCCTGGAAAATCTGGTCTTTGAATAGGGGGACGTAATCCATTCGTCATGCTCATGACAAGACTCATCGTATTTCCATATTTGCCCATGTAAGTTTTGGAAATTTAGCTTTTGGCCCTAACGTATTAATTCGTTCTCGAGACTTATCGTATTTCCGTATTTGCCCATGTAAGTTTTGGAATTTAGTATTTTGACCCAAACGTATTTATTCGTACTCGTAGGTCACCCTCGGGTTTCCTTTTCTCGTGTCTCGTCTCTGGCCTGAGACGGGCGCAAGTTAACAATCGGTACTTATTCGGCGCATACTAACAGTGTCGAGTCAAGTGCGCCCGCCGTCCACCACGCTCCGCTTTCTCTCCTTTTCCCTTTCGACCATGGTGTCCTCTATCGTGTTGGATTAGGGTTCCTACTCGACACAAAGTTCTTCATACCTTCTCGTGAAGAGCTCTTCCATCCCCTTATCAGCTCTAGGGTTTGGAGTCTCCGGATTTTCTGCAGTATCTCCATCTTCCGTCGGCCATGGATCCTTCAAGGAGGCAACCGAAGGACTCGCCATACTCGAATCTCTTCAATCTCGAGGTCTGTCGGAGCTCCGTCTTTTGGTTTGAATGTGTTGGATTATCCTGAGCTTTCACAACGAATATAGTTTTGGTGGTTGGATTGCAATTCGATAGTTCTCCGTGTTCCTGCTTTTATATTTAGAAAAATTGTTGGGGATTTCTTAAATTTTCATGGTTTTCTGCTAATGTTTTCTTTTGTAGCCGTTGATGAACTACAAAGTTCCGCAAGCTGAAGATGATTTTGATTTCTATTGTAGTAGTCAAGACGAAAGCAGAAGTAATCAAGGTACTTACTTTCAAGTTAACAAATTTTAAGGTTTAGAGCAATTATCTTGCTGCTAAGTGTGTGATTTGCGAAGGGGAGTCTTAGTGCACCGGTTAATGTGTTGCCGTTGTGATCTAGAGGTCACAGACTTGAGTCCTGGAAGCAGCCTCTTGCAGAATATTCTGCAAGGCAAGGCTTGCCTACAATACACCCTTGTAGTGGATCCCTTTCCCGGACTCCGCTCAACGGGATGTTTTGTGCACAGGACTGCCCTAAGTGTGTGATTTGTATTAACTGACCTGTGAACAAAATGGATGTTAATGGCTGAAGGTGGGGGAATGACGGCAAATCACAGTAATGGGTCAATATCAGGGGCAAGATCAAACATGAAAAAGAGAAAGCAGTGGACAGACACTGATGATGGAGAGGATGAAGATGACTTTTACCATCCACAAATTACAGAAGATCGCTATCGATCAATGCTCGGTGAGCATATACAGAAGTTCAGAAGGAGGTCAAAGGAGTCTCAACCAAGTTCCAGGAATGCGGGTAGTTACAGGACTAGGAAACTTGGGAATGATTACAAAGGAAGATACTATGATATGGACAACCCGCCTGATCTGATGGCTGATGTGAGCCCACAAAGGCGGGGAAGCTATCATGATCCAGACACTACCCACAAGTATGTTGCTAAATTTTTCTTGTCCGATTTTCTTCCCTGCTAATTGAAAATCCTTGCTTTGGCTATGTTAGTACTGTGTGTTGTCCTCCTGAAATATAAAGTTTGGTATATGCATCGTTTGCAGAATATCATATGAACCTTCTTATTTGGATGTCGGTGATGGTGTCATCTATAAAATTCCCCCAAGTTATGACAAACTGGTGGCATCATTGAACTTACCAAGCTTCTCAGATATTCATGTGGAAGAATTTTACCTGAAGGGGACTCTAGATCTGGGGTCATTAGCAGAATTAATGGCCAATGATAAAAAACCTGGACCAAGAACCCACAATGGAATGGGAGACCCTCAACCTCAATATGCATCTCTTCAAGCTAGAGTAAAGGTCATGTCAGCTTCAAACTCCATGCCAAAGTTCAGCCTCAAGGTGTCAGAAGCTGCAATTAATGCTTCCGTTCCAGAAGGAGCTGCTGGACATACAGCACGGTCGATTTTGTCAGAGGGTGGTGTTTTGCAGGTTTATTATGTAAAGGTTCTGGAGAAGGGAGATACGTATGAGGTTTGGTTTCTTTGTCAGTTATTCTATTTCAATCTGCATAGGGTTGTGTCATTCATGGCTCCAGCAGGGAAGTTACAATCCTTTTCGTATCCTTGCTGCAGATTGTTGAACGGAGTCTACCTAAAAAGCAGAAGATGAAGAATGATCCTGCAGTCATTGAGAGAGCTGAAAGGGAGAAAATTGGTAAAGCCTGGATCAACATTGTCAGAAGAGATATACCCAAACACTATCGAAGTTTCACCACTTTTCATCGGAAGCAATCAATTGATGCCAAGAGGTTTGCAGAATTCTGCCAAAGAGAGGTACTTACTGATTTTCTCGATATTATGGCTTTACCTGGTCATTTTGTTTACTTCACTTTTCTACAAGATGACTTAGTACTCGCTAACCTTTTCGTTGAGGTCCATCACAGGTGAGAATGAAGGTGGGTAGATCATACAAATTGCCAAGGGGTGCACCAATTCGCACCAGGAAAATGTCAAGAGACATGTTGTTGTTTTGGAAGCGATATGACAAGCAGATGGTAAACTCTCTTCTCGGTTTAGACTCTTTGCTGCACCTTTAGGTGCATCTTTTGTTCATCCTTTTTCAGTTCATGTTGTACCCTTTAGATTTAGTTACTCATTCTACTCTCAAATTTTTTTTCATACATTCTTCTTTTTCTGGACTCCAGTGTCCTTTTATGTAGAAATGGAATTGAATCACTCTCAGCACATTAGCGTTCACTTTAAACTTGGTCAGCTGGTTTCAAGTTATATGAAAAGGATGAAGTTAAAACGAAAGTAAAAGAGGAGGCATTTTTTGTTTTCATTCTCTTCTAGTTCTCTTGAACCGCCGTGGGCTTGGATTGATGTGATGCTACCTTAACAGGCAGAAGAGAGGAAAAGGCAGGAAAGGGAAGCTGCAGAAGCTTTGAAGCGTGAACAGGAGCTTCGAGAGGCAAAAAGGCAGCAGCAGAGGCTCAATTTTCTCATTCAACAGACTGAGCTTTACAGTCACTTCATGCAGAAAAAGGCCAGTTCGAAGCCCTCGGAGGCCCTGTCAATAGGAGATGAAAAGCCAATTGATGAAGATAATCCCAAACCTTCAGATACTGAGCCTTCAGGCGAGGAAGATTCTGAAGATGCTGAACTGAAAAAGGAGGCCCTGAGAGCTGCTCAAGATGCAGTATTTAAGCAGAGAAACTTAACAAATGTCTTTGATTCTGAATGTATGAAGCTACGACAAGCTGCTGACTTAGAAGGCCCTTCAAATGACATTTCAGTTGCGGGCTCAAGCAATATAGATTTGCATAATCCGTGAGTTTCTTTTCCATTGAATTCCATATTTTTTGCTTCTGGAATTTGCAGTAGTTAATTTTTATCTTTACTTTCAGGTCCACAATGCCTGTTACATCAACGGTTCAGACTCCAGAATTATTTAAAGGTTCCCTCAAAGAGTACCAACTGAAAGGGCTTCAGTGGCTGGTCAATTGTTATGAACAGGTTGAGTTCACCTCTTTTTTCCATTTCTTATTTCGTCATGTAGGACTTTATTCAGAAAATTCCACTGAGACGGCTTTTGATCTTTTCTCTGGAGCCTCTCTTAGAATGGAACTATACTAAGAATGGTCTCTTGATATGTTCCAGGGTCTGAATGGCATACTTGCTGATGAAATGGGTTTGGGTAAGACTATTCAAGCCATGGCTTTCTTGGCACATTTGGCTGAGGTAAGTGTAACAGTTGGCCCTTCTTATGTCTTTCGTGATTTCTTTATGCTAAAGTTCATGGATAACCACACAGGAAAAACATATATGGGGCCCGTTTCTGGTTGTTGCCCCTGCTTCTGTCCTGAACAATTGGGCTGATGAAATTAGCCGTTTCTGCCCTGACTTGAAAACTCTTCCATATTGGGGAGGACTACAAGAGCGGATAATATTGAGAAAGAAGATCAATGCAAAGCGTCTGTATCGAAGGTAATATTCTATTGAGTGTGCTAGAATATAAACTTTTTTGTTGGGATTCTTCTGCGTCTCCTGTAGCTTGGTCCCGTACACATATCCTTGAATTAGCTATATAACAATTGATTGTCCTGATTTGCCTTTTCTCTGTATCCAGATACCAGCATTTCTGAGGATATATAGTTGCTGGTTTTTGGACATAAATTGAAACTTATGTGTAGTGCTAGCGTTTATTTTGACCTAATCAGATCTTAGATGCTTCCCTACTTTCTCTGGAGACATCCATGTTCTTTTATTTGCAGAGTATTCATGGACTGACTTACTCTCTTTATTTCTAAAGCTCTTCTATGGATTGTCTCTTTTGACAGGGATGCTGGTTTCCATATTTTGATTACCAGCTATCAGCTATTAGTAGCTGATGAAAAGTATTTCCGCCGTGTGAAGTGGCAATATATGGTGCTAGATGAGGCCCAAGCAATCAAAAGTTCCACCAGGTTTTTATTTTCCTCCTGAGTCCGTTGAATTCCTGTTACTTAAGCCATAATTCCTTCTACCCCTTTGTGTCGGCCTCACTGTATATATGTTGGTCTTTGTCATTGTAAGACGCTGGATACCGTGCATGTAAAAGTACTGTTCATGGATTTCCTTGCAGATGCGAGAAAATCTAAATTCTCATGTATACTTCATTTTTCTTCTCTTTGTCAGCATAAGATGGAAGACCCTTCTTAGTTTTAACTGCCGGAATCGCTTGCTTCTGACCGGCACCCCTATCCAGAATAACATGGCAGAGTTGTGGGCCTTACTGCACTTCATCATGCCGACATTGTTTGACAGCCATGAACAGTTTAATGAGTGGTTCTCAAAAGGGTTTGTAGCATTTGCGTTGTTTATGTTCATTCAAAAGTTTTTAGTCAAGTATGTCAGGAAATTGTTTCTTACAAATAATTAATGTTGATAACAGAATCGAGAATCATGCTGAGCATGGAGGCACTTTGAACGAGCATCAGCTTAACAGATTGGTAAGTTTTCATTCTCTGGGATCTCACTAGCTAGTTTTGTGTCTTTTGCTTTATATAGACACTCCTTTTGCTCTTCTGGTGCATGTATTTTTTTTTGTGCTGTAATTCTTTTGTAGCTTGAGGAGGTGGTTTATTTTATCAGCGTACTTTCCTTTATAAGTCATAAGAGCACTCAGTTTCCATTTGATCTCCTTGTGACCTTCGAGAGTGATCTAACCCTCAGATAGTTCTGTTACTTATTTTGTTTCCTTCTGCCTGGCAGCATGCAATCTTAAAGCCATTCATGCTCCGACGAGTAAAAAAAGATGTGGTTTCTGAGCTAACTAGGAAGACGGAAGTTACTGTGCACTGCAAGCTGAGTTCTCGACAACAAGCTTTCTATCAGGCTATTAAGAATAAAATTTCTCTGGCCGAGTTGTTTGATAGCAATCGTGGACATCTTAATGAGAAGAAAATATTGAATTTGATGAATATCGTTATCCAACTCAGGAAGGTAAGCTTTCTTGCGTAGCTGGTTATCATTTTTTCTTCTTTTTCTCTATCAATGATTCTGATATGTTGAATTAGAAGGGATAGGAAACCTAGTATTTATCTAACAACATATATGCGAAATGGCGGCTTCATGTTATCTATTCTTTATTTTCTAATGCTAGGTATGCAACCATCCAGAGTTGTTTGAAAGGAACGAAGGAAGCACATATTTCTATTTTGGTTTGATTCCCAATTCCCTTCTGCCCCCTCCCTTTGGGGAGCTAGAGGATATACACTATTCTGGTGGTCAAAATCCGATAACATACGAGGTGCTTTTCAATACATTAAATAAGTTATAAGTTTGAGAATATCATGTAGTTTTTACCAAAACTCAACTTTGTATCTCTTTATTTTTTCTTTCAGATTCCTAAACTGCTGCACCAGGAGGTGCTCCAAAGTTCTGAAACATTTTGTTCTGCAGTTGGGCATGGGATATCTAATGAATCCTTCCTGAAGCGGTTTAATATATTTTCACCACATTATATTTATCATTCTATATTCCCACCAGATAGTAAGGTAGATCAGGTAGTTACTAGAAGCGGAACGTTTGGCTTTTCACGCTTGATAGATTTCTCACCAGCAGAAGTTGGATTTCTGGCTACCTGTTCCTCCATGGAAAGGCTATTATTCTCTGTTCTGAGATGGGAACGACAATTTCTGGATGGGATAGTGGACTCGCTTGTGGAATCTATGGATGATGAGCTTAGTGGTGATTATGTCAAGCGAGGAAAATTCAGAGCCGTGACAAGAATGTTGTTGACGCCATCGAAAATTGAAACTAGTTCACTGAAAAAGAAATTAGCCACAGGGCCGACTGATTCTCCATTTGAAGCATTGGTGATTTCTCATGATGACAGGCTTCTTTCAAACATCAAACTTCTCCATTCGGCATATACTTTCATCCCGAAAATTAGAGCTCCACCGGTATGTTTTCTTTTGATCATGTAGTTGCCAATTATTGGCCTGGGTTATCTCTTTGCTGATCTTCTTGACTGCCCCCTTCCTTTTTACTTGCTGTTTCTAGGTGAATTTTCATTGCCCGGACAGAAACTCTGCCTACAGAATGACAGAAGAACTACATCAGCCATGGCTTAAGAGGCTATTAGTTGGTTTTGCACGTACATCAAAACATAGTGGACCCAATGAGCCAGATGGATCTCCACATCCTTTAATTCAAGAAATTGATTCAGAGCTTCCTGTTTCACAGCCTGCACTTCAGTTAACATACAGAATATTTGGTTCCTGTCCCCCTATGCAAAGTTTTGACCCGGCAAAATTGCTTACTGTATTACGATCCTTCTCCATTTTAGCTTCTTTTTTATTTATACGGTTTTATTATTAGATCTCGTATCTTAATACAAATTACTTGGGATACACAGGACTCTGGGAAGCTTCAGACACTGGATATATTGTTGAAGCGCCTTAGAGCAGGAAATCACAGAGTGCTCCTTTTTGCACAAATGACAAAGATGCTGAATATTCTTGAGGTAGTCTAGACTCCAACCTTTGTGTGATGGTCTCGGTGAATATATGTCGGGATCTTTTGAATGAATTTCTAGTTTTACATATTACCCTAGGCCACATTCTATTATACCTAAACTTTACATGCTCGTTTTTGTGCAGGATTACATGAATTATAGAAAGTACAAGTACCTCAGGCTTGATGGGTCTTCCACCATTATGGATCGCCGAGATATGGTCAAGGATTTTCAGCATAGGTAGGGATTTAATTTGTTCTGCAGAGTGTTCTTTCTGAGGCTTTTCTTATAATATTGGCATGAGGCTCGCTGTTGTTAGTGTCTAACTGCTTGAAATACCTTCTCTGGTTGCAGGAGTGATATTTTTGTATTCTTGCTGAGCACCAGAGCTGGAGGCCTTGGTATTAACTTGACGGCTGCCGACACTGTAATTTTCTACGAAAGTGATTGGAATCCAACCTTGGATTTACAGGCTATGGACAGAGCTCATCGTCTGGGTCAGACAAAAGATGTTAGTGGTTCTTCTTCTTTTTCTTGTTCCTCTAAACAGATATTTGTTTTGTTTTGAACTGACATGGAAGAAGGATCTGCATACTAATCTATGTGTTGCATGATTTCTTATATAAAACGTCAAAACCTCTTTTCAGGTAACTGTTTATCGGCTGATTTGCAAAGAGACCGTAGAAGAGAAAATTTTACAAAGGGCGAGTCAGAAAAATACTGTGCAGCAGCTTGTTATGACAGGAGGTCATGTTCAGGGTGATCTCTTGGCACCGGAGGATGTTGTTTCATTGCTTCTGGATGACACACAGCTTGAGCAAAAACTCAGAGAATTTCCACTACAGGTTGGTGGCATCCATCACATCAATGTTTACCAATTACGAGAGTAAGGAAACAAAAAAGAAACAGGAAATTACTTCTTTTGGTCTTTCAGGTGAAGGACAAGCATAGGAAAAAGCAGTCTACGAAAGGTATACGATTAGATGCAGAAGGGGATGCATGTTTGGAGGACCTAACAGAAGCTGCAGGACCAGAAAACGGGCAGGAACCTCCCCAAGACCCGGAAAAGGCAAAATCCAGTAACAAAAAGGTATTGTTATCCTAATATTCCATCTTGGCTCAGTATTGATCCACAAATTTGGGGATTATTCTGAGTATTATCACATGTACTGGAACCGGAGTTGTCCTCATGGTAGGTAGTGTATTGCTTACTAAGCAATGTGTTCAAGTGGCTAGTTACTTATGGGAAACACTAGGCACTACATGACCAAAGAAATTCTGAAAATCGGTTATTTGTACTGTTGCGAATTGTAGGATCTGATAAAATGTGGCCTTCGGGCGTGATTTGCAGAGGAAAGCTGGTTCAGAGAGGCGAGTAGCTTCGAAACCAAGGAATTCTCAGAAAACAACCGAAAATATGCATATTGAGACGGATGGATGATCCTCTTCAGAATACAGACTGGCAAACTTAAGAGGCCAAAAAGAGCCCGAGCGACAAATGAGAATCTCGAACCCGTGTTTTCAGCCATGTTGGCATCAGACGCAGAACCTGAGTAATGGTCTGAGCAGCTCCGGTACAGCAGCTGAGGTGATCTATCGATCGAGAAGCCAACGGGAGACAAAATGGAGTGAAGATGTTATTCACAGGCAGGGCTTTAGCTTTAATAAATATCTAGCGGTGGTTCTCTTATCAGTCCTGCCCCGAGTTTTTGGCTGTTGAAGAGATGAAGCAGAGGGCAGAGTGATGCAACTGTATAGATATTAGATATCTGTGTAGAAGTAGAGTTGATTATATGTTATTGATTGTATCAATGGATGTTATCACTAATCATCCTCTCATAAAGCAAATAGCTAAGATGTGTTGATTCTGACAAAGTAGACAGAGACATCAGGTATCATCAACTGAAGTGATTTCTTTGGTGGATTGGACGCGTTTCGACCCGTTAAAGTTCAAATATTCAGAATATTTATAGGCAAATCTAAGTATTTTAAGATTTTCTCGTTACAAAACCCCGATCTCATCTCATATAACAACTGAATGCTAGATTCCTAATCCGCAAGTCATAAAATCACCCGAAATTCAAAATTTTTTTAATCCAATCCTAGATCGAAACCTTTCTCCTAGGTTTAGAATCTTTTTGCTTGAACGACAGTGATATTCAATTTCAAAGTAGAATATATAATTTCCGTACCAACTTCGGTATCATCGGGTAAATTGGGAGCTGACCAGACTCGTTGAGCGAATAGATTTAGGAAGACTCCAATGTTAAATGAATCCCCGCTCTACAAAATAATAAACCAAACCAAAGCAACGAATCATAATCATCATCGTCTTCTTCGGGTAAACAGCAAAAAACTGGCAACAACATCTTCCATATAAAGCACTGAAAAGTCGCGGATTCTTCCAGATTCAGAAGCTTCGAGACACCTTCTCGTACAAATCTCGGGGCCAGTTCCGATGCGTGTTGTTCGCAAGAAACCCCGCAATCTGCAAACCCGCAGAAAAAAAAACTCATAAGCTATTATGCATGAATTCATACGCTTCTTTTTTCCTTCTTTGCTTCGGTGTTTATACCTTGGATCTCATGGCGTGGAGTGATCCATCAGTGTCAGGCACGTTGTCCAGACAAGTCAGGGCGACCTTGAGAAGGTCAGGAACGCAGACCTGGAAGTATCGGGACGAGCTCTGGAACAGTTCGGATGTTGTGTCGGGTGCTCTCGGATCTAGATTCAGGAACGGCAGTTTCGCTACTTCCCTTAGAGCGTCGAGATGATTGCCCAGTCTCCCCAACTTGTGGATCGATAGTATCGCCTCGAGTTGTCTTAGTATCGTTTCTTGCTCCATTACGCGGTCTCTTTCTTGGACACTGCATATATTGAGCATGTCTTCAAGTAAGAAATGAAGGCCGAAACTCGGAAAATGGGAAAGGTCCAAAGACTTAGAGACGTTAAAAATGGGTTTGCAAATTTTAGCTGATCGGCAGAAATGGATAGATAGCACGAAGTTTACCTGACTTCAGGGTGATATTTGTATGTCTCGAGAATATCATTGCCCGAGAGAATAAGGCCCGCTGTCCGGCTTTCACCATCCAGCCTTCCACGGGCAAGGGAGCAAATGGCTTCAGATAGACATCTGTTTATCGTATCCAAGGCCGCCGAAAATGCTCCAACTCTCTTCTGTATTTCTATGGACTGAATCGAATGACAACAGTTAGCAGATGGAACCAAAGGGTAAACCAAAAGCCATAAAAACTCAAACTAGAAAGAAGAATGAAAACTGGAAAATAGAGTACTAGACATAAATTAACTGGCATGGGAGCTGGTAAATGAAATCAGAAGTTTGATATTGATATCACTTCATAATAAGTTTTAAAAGAAAAGAACAAAGAACCAAAAAAAAAGGCCGTTCAATAGCATGCTTCAGGTAGAAACTACAAAGGATACTTACTTTGTCGTATAAACCAGCATCCTGACATTGACGAGCAGCTTCGATCAAGAACTGCCGCCTAGACTTAGAATCAGGAAGAAACCTTCCGAGTTGACCTTCTTCACCTGAACCTCTTGCACCAAGCAAAAGGTAAATTCCGCCATCCCGTAACAAAATCTCAGTCAATAGTTGTTTCAGTATCAAGCTCCTTTGTCTCTGTTGATCCATATTACTTCTTCCAGACCAAGCTAGCTGCCCCCCACCAACCGCAGCAGCAGCTTGAGCATAATATTCTAACGCCATTTGAAGATCACCGAGATGTAAAAACATCGACCCATATTGCCTAATCATGCTAGATGCCTCAGCATTAGCATCCATCACACTTAATTTGTGGCCCGCCCCAGATCCTTCAGACAGAACGGAATGATCCACCAGCGAAATAGCTATGTGCACAGCATCAATGTTATACCCTTCCTCCCCTGCTTCTTTGGAGATATACATTATGGCAGGTAGTAACTGTATGCTGAGAATCAAAACATACGGGTAGACCAGGGGGTCTTTGCCATTCTTAGTGTAATATGAAGGCTCAAACTTATTAAGATAAACCTGAAGATCGTCTAAACTGTAAGGTAAGACGCCATCATTCAAGACCAAAGAAGATGATCCATGGGCGACATCTCTTACGCATGATAATTTAAACCATAGGAAATCTTCAATGGTGTTAAAGAGAGTAGACAGATCCCTAAGTATGCGATCAATTTGCCTGCGGGAACCAGAAATAATAGTGTAGAGTAGGAGTTTCTTCTTATCATATGCAGTTCGACCCAATCGATCACCCATCCTTAGCATTTTTTCACATTCTTCAGAAGCAATAGCTGCAGTGTCTGCAGACACCATACTCCCTGTGCTAATCCATTCTGTAAGCTGCAAAGAGGAAGGCAATCAATAAAGTTGGTCTGAAAATTTTGACCTATTAACTGCTAAACGAAACCTACCAGTGGCGCAAACTGTTGGGATGAGCGGGATGACAGAGCAACTTCTCTAGCCTCCTCATAATACCCAGTTCTCAAGCAAAAGTATATCTGTAATTGAAGAGACAGGAAGATAAGAGACTCAATTATCCTCTTAGAACATGAAGAAACTTATGAAAGTTGGCAATTTAATCTTTTTATACTTCAACCTAAATGCCGAGTTGAACATAAAATCGAGGATGTGAGAGATATTTATCCAGAACCTGCTGCCATGTAGTATCAACAGGAGGTTGTCTACGGGCATCGCCTGAATCAAAATCTAAAATTCCATAATCCCTCAGACGAATCTGCAAAGTTTATAAAACAAGGAATAGGAGAAATTAGACAGCATGTTGAATTGAACTCGACATGTTTAGCTCCATCAAGTCTGTATCACTAACCCGGAGAAAAGCACGAATTCTTTGCAAATTTCCAACAGAGCCACCAAGAGCAGCCTTGAAGAAGATTAGACAAGTAAAAATAAAACAGTCAGTGTGATCAGTAACGCAAGTGAGCAGAAGACAGACGGCACTGCTGAAGTCACCACCAATTGAAGCAGATAATAACAAACAAGACAACTCGAGAGATAAACTAGTATAAACAAAAGGAAGAAATGATCACTTGTGTAGGGTGACTTTGAATTGTTTCCATCATATATTTCTCATGTCCACGCTCCAGATGATGTCTGGCACCTATCACAAGAGACATCCTCTTGGAAACACCCTGTTGGACTGCTGAATCTTCGCCTGTCATCGCCTGTTACATAACTCAGTTTGTCAACAAGCATGAACAACTTTTATAGAAAACTTTATCTAAGGTGGCAATACTTAGAAGATGAATTTTCATTCAAAAGATTACCTGAACAAGCTGCCATAATTTCTGTATGGTGACAGATTTTCCGCGAGTTACGTCAATGCTTAAACTTTCATAAGCACACTTGAACTCTGTTGCAGGCTGCATAAATGAATGAATGTAAACAATTAGCCCAAAATAGCAGAGACTTGTGAGATCAGAAGAAAGCAAACACAAACAAACAGATGAGAGGTCAACCAATTAACAATATGTTGCATAAAGACAGTCATCATCAGAAGCATGAACATACACAAAATACAGAAAAAAGAGTTCCAGTTTGCTTGACTTCTTAACACCTTTACAGAAAAATGCATGAGTATCAAATGCGCAAGTCAAAGAAAATTTCATGCAAAATGCGCCAGTAACGACGACTTTAAGAGAAGATTTAGAGGAGCCTTACCTTGAATGGTAAGCCCCTTTCCCTTGAAGTGTTAAGTTTCTTCACAATATCGGCATACACATATGCTTTTTTCTCATGAATGGGTTTATTAGCTAACACTATTTCTGCACCAAGTCTTGTAGATACTTGAGGACTCGAAGCTACAGGCACCAGTGGACCACCATGAGCATCTCTGCTTGAATCAATCATATTGGTCTTAGGTAACATTGAAATTCTGCTAAGACTCTGCAGGAAGTCACGTTTCTCTTTTCTCCAATCCTCCTGCAAAATCAGATTTCCCACCCAAGATAAGAGAAATGACAAGAAACAAAACCAGTACATACTTCATTCTTTTACCAAAAAGCAAACCAACTAGCACACTAAAGATCCCTTCATTATCCATTAGCATATGACAATTGGTAGTAGCACACTTAAAAGGACAGAACAAACTGCTCTGTTTAACACAACTACACTCCAGACAGATATGACCTATCAAACTTTGTTGGCAAAAACATAGTAAGAAGAAACAAAAGCCTAGAGGGAAAAGGCACTAAAACGATCACAACTGCTTTGCATGAAGGCTCGAAGATGCAAAAGACGTAACTAACAAAGAAACCGGGACAAATGCATCATGTCATCATTAAAGCTTCATACAGTAACCATTGAAGTTACGGGTAGCAGGATTACAAACCTCCAATACTCTCATCATGTAATCATTAAAGCTTCGAACGTTATCCTTTTGAGCTTCTTGGATAGCTGATACCATTGCCATTTCATGAACCTGAACGTACATGCAAATTGATCTGTCATCACCAAAAGAATATATCTGCATTGTATAAAACTGCAGTGAATAAAAATATCTAGAATTAGGAATACCTGCTGAAGGTATTCCTCAACGCTTGTGGCCTCAGCAGGGAAGACATCCTCGAATGTTGTCTTTTTATGAGAAGAAAGTAGAAAAACATCATTCGTTATCAGAGAGAACGACCAAACTGGAAAAGTAGATAATAAAGGCCGAAGATGTACAAGCAAACAAATATCAACACTTGAAAACCTTATAAAACCAACAGGTGAATCTAGTATGCTTTCATACTGCAATAGTACTGGCTATAAACCTAAGCTCCGGGACGACTTCAAGAAGATCCATTTTGCAAAAAGCACAGGTATCTTCCAGAGGAAGACACCTTGTTTTTGTAATAGTTTGATGCCCTAGTTTTGTATGATCATGTGAAAGTCGAGGGAAAATCTACAATATTAACGATATGCTACTGTTTTACATCAGAAAAATACAAATGGTCTTAGGAAAAATAGATCCAAATACTGATCATGAAGCAACTTAAGCTGGGAGGAAATGAATGTCATGGGATTTGGAACATACACACCTTCAACTCGAAAGATTTTAGATCACGAGCAAGTTGCTCTGCATTGATCCCCTCCCGTGCAAGTAACCTGCATTATGCAGCACAAACAGAAAAAGACAGATTTGTCACTCACTTCTCGAACTGGATTGATACTTTGAAAGTTCATTATCTCTCCACTAGGAAGATCAAAGCTTTTAACAAAAACCATAGCCCACAGTTTCACGGATCATGGGCATGCGAACCTCAGGACAATTCATTCACGAACCCAGAAATGTAAGCCCCAAATTCCGCCTCTAAACATGAATTCCAAGCACCCAATTTGGGGACTACAAGCAGAGGCCTAGGGAGTGGGGATTAAGGCGAAGGTACATCTAGGAACAATGAGGAGGCTGAAAATAGGTATACCTAGTGGCAGCAATAGTTTGCGAAGGAGCCTCGGTTCTTAGGGTTTTCGCTTTGAGCTTCTTCGATAAAGCTTCCAACTGATCTAAGTTCCTCTGAAAACCACACAGATAACATCACGAACCAGCCGCACGAAGGTAAAATGCACATAAAAACCTCCACAACACATCGAAACCAGCAAATATTTCCCCAGGAAATAAACGAAAAAACAAGAAGCAAAAAAAAAAGCCATGAAAAGTGGAAGAAGAACCTGAAGAGGGGGAAATTGAGCGGAAGGAGCAGCTTGCTCCAGAAGCTTCGTCGACGAATGAAGGAGATCAGTCCACCCACTCATCTCTTGGTCACTCGCCATTGACACTCCGTCCGAGCTCCGCTACGCGAAAAAGGGGACGAGAGGGTTTTAGGATTTCAAAACGTTTTCCCTTTTTCTTTTCTTTTTTTTTCACCCTTTCAATCCTTTTTTTTTTTCCTTTTCGCATGAGACGACGCCACCCGATTGATTCGGGTCGGGTTAGCGGATCCATCCGAGTTGGGTAAATCGGGGCAACCGGGCCGGGTTATTCGGAACTCGTATTGGGCCGTGCCGGTTTGGGTCGGACCTATGTAAATGTTGATTAATATCGTGTATTTTTATTAGGGTGAGTACTATTAGAGTTTTGACTTACCGATTTTGTTATTGGACCGATTAAAATTAATTGTAGATCGAATAAATAACGTTTGGTTATAAATTTTTGAAATTAGAATTAATTCTATATTGAATAAATTGGACCCGAATTAATATTAACCGTAAATGTTTAATTATAGAAATTAAATTTGAAAAATAAAATAAAATCCGGTATGTCAAAACTCTAATAAAATTTTGCATTTGTCTTTGTTACCGTCGGTCATGAGGCCACCCATTCGATGAAAATTTATTATTTATTATTTTCCTTGCACAACATACTTTTATTTTACAAAGAGTAGTTATCAAGCTGGTTGGTTTTGATTCATTTATAGGAATTTTTACAACAAAAGGAAATTCCCATGATTTTGTTGTTATCTCTTCTAGGGAAAAATATGTTTAAGAACCCGATATATATCTAGTAATGCCCATATTTATTCGTGTATTGTTTTTATTTTTCCGTTTTAAATTGTAAAAAAAAATATTATCATAAATATTTTTACAATTTAAGATAAATATGAAACTATTTTTAAAATTAAGTTTCTGAAATATATATAACCTTTTTTTTTTAGGGTTTATCTTTTTAGGGACAAGGTTTCCAAATATACAAAGAGTGCTGTTTTCAAGGAAGCCGCTAATTCTGGAAACAACAATAATATGTGTTTGACTTAATGTGAACTACCAAAGCATTCAACTGTACTAATACTATTTTCAAATTTATGTAATTTAATTTAGGAAAAATCCATCTAAATATTTCAATTTTATAAAATATACCAAATAAATATATAAACTTTTAATTTGATCTAATTAATATTTTAAATATTAAAATATTTTAAATGGATACCTCGACTCAACTCAACAAAAACGATACTAATTCATAATTTCGATTATCTAATTTATACATCAGTATTGGAGTCGAATTTGTAAATTATTATCAATTTTATGAGTTTTATTTTTTTAAAGTTAGAAATTAATATCAAATTAAAAATTTAGGTATTTATTTGATACAATTTGGTACTTATATGAGATTTTTTTTTAAATTTATTTCTTATTAATTTTACCATTTCTACTATTTTTTGTGACAGTTAATCAGAAATTCTAATCGACCGTGCCATTTTCATTCTCTCTCTCTATATATATATATGTATATGTGTGAATTTTGTTCATATATAAGGGATTCTATTAGGAATAATCCTTCCCCTTTTAAGATTTTACTATTTGTAGGCGAGAGATTTTGTTTTCTTGTCATCTTCTTCATCGTGTAATGTAAGGCTACCGTCCACATTTTCGTTTCCATTTATTTTATTAGTTTGAGAAAATTTGCTAAGATAATTAAAAACGTATTTGCCAAATTTTTTTTCTAATTTTCTAAATTTTACTTTTAAATATGAATTGTTTAAAATATTTATATTAATAGTAGCACGTACTACTACTACATATGTTATCCTTTTTTGTATTTACTTTTTTTATTGTAAATGCGGTTTTAGTACTATTTAAACTTTATATATATATATATATATAGTTATTACAAATACATATATATATATATGTGTGTGTGTGTCTTACTAATTGTGTCAGATTTTCACCCGATGACAAGAATAGTAAAAGAAGAAACTTTCGTTTTCGGAAAAACTAATTTTACAAGTTTTCTTTCAGATTTTACTGTGGTAACAAAAAATAGAAAAAGAAGCTGTTTGATTGAGCTTGAAGTTACCGTATTTACAGCGGTAAAAAAAAGTAACCCTAACAAAAGCAAATTGGATTAAAAAAGAGTGGGAGAGAGAGAGAGAGAGAGAGAGAGAGAGAGATCCAAACAAGGCCTTAGAGGGAAAAACTCAAACGAGGAAATTTTCCAAAAGAAGAAAAAGCTCACTCCCCCAAGCAATCGGCAATGGCCGACAATGGAGAATTTCCAGATTTAGCAATCAGATCTGTCGTATTTTATGTGAAATGCCCTAAATTTGGTTGAAATTTTCCATCCTTAGCCTCCCACAGAATCCTGATCAATTCCAAGCACAGCCCAGATATACATGTATATGTCTATATATATATATGGCCACTTAATCGGGTGTGAATATATAGAAAGAATACATGCATATATACGACAACACACCATTGATATCATATCTCGTGTTCTTCGTAGAGATGGGGAGAGGGAGGATTGAGATCAAGAGGATAGAGAATGTGAACAGTCGTCAAGTGACTTTCTCCAAGAGACGAAACGGGTTGATGAAGAAGGCGAGAGAGCTTTCAATCCTCTGTGACGCGGAGGTCGCCGTTATCATCTTCTCCAGCACCGGCAAGGTTTACGAATTCTCCAGCAGCAGGTAATCAACAAAAATCATGATTTTTTTTTTTATTTTTTTAATGGGTTTTGGTTAAAGTCTTCATCTTTGTACTGCGCAATCGAAAACGATTATGGGTTTCCGATGTTTTTGTAGTTTTCTCTGTTCATTTTTATAGCAACTGGTGGGTTATGGATTAAACCCTAGACCGAAAGTTTATTCGGAGAATCGAAATTGTCTCTCCGTTTTTGGGATTTGGAGTTGGCCATTATGGTGGGGAAACTGGAACTGTTGCAGAGAGAGGACTGGAAAATCTGGGAGATTAGGGTTTATAGGTTTCGATATCTTGGTTCACACGTAACCAAGAGAGATTGAAGGATCATGTGCAACAACAAAAAAAATACATCTGTTGTTGGCTTTAACTGATGATGACGACTTGGTTTTGGGTGTGAAGTATGCAGCAAACACTTTCCAGATATGGCTACAGCTCTTCGACTTCAGACCATATCCATCAACGAGAGATTCTCCAGCATCAGCGACCACATCACTGTCCCCTCCAAGATAACGACGACGCATCGGTAATCTATTGATTCTTGAATGATTCTTGGCTTCCCCTTTGTGTGCGTCTCTTATTCTGAAAACGCCTCCGTCATCTGCAACAGCGGCAGAATAGCGATTTTCTGAAGACCGAACTCGAGAGATTGCACCTCTCGTACGAGTACGTCCGTCCCCCGAGTGTTTTGCCCCTCTGGAAAACGCGTGTTTCAAGAACTGTCTCTCGTTCAAATTTCGGGTTCTTTTTCGCAGGAGAATGAAGGGGAAGGAGCTGAATGGATTGAGCTTTCCGGAGCTGTTGTCTCTCGAAAACCAGTTGAATGAAGCCTTGCTGAGTATCAAGGATCAAAAGGTAAAGAATAAGCCCATTCATTGTTTCGATCACCACCTCGGGTAATTATTAGCACAAAAGATCTCAAGTTTTTGTCTGATTCAGACACAGGTCCTGCTCGATCAGATCGAAAGATCCCGGTTTCAGGTAAAACACAGAGTTCTTGGGAAAGAAAGTTATCTTCTTGTATGATCCATGTACGTAAATCCAAAGAATCTCTTTCCATTTTTGTTATACCTCTAAAGGAGAAAAGGGCTCTGGAAGAAAATGAGAAGCTACGGCAACAGGTAAGCCATTACTGACCCATCAACTCGCTATTCATCATACCCTAAAATCCAAATCTGAAAACGAATCGTTACTTCTTCAATATTCTTCAGTTAGTGAAATCTGGAAGAAGTTCATCAGGACCGTCGGAGTTAACTCCAGTGAACGCAGTTTCACGTATGTTAGCCGAATTTCCGGACATGACGAGGAGAACGGGAGGCGAGAGCTCTTCGTCCGACGATGACGACAATGACAGTGGGGATCGTCATTCCGACACTTTCTTGCACTTGGGGTAACCTCAAAATTTGAACTCCCCCCCCCCCTCAAAACCCTGTTTTGTCTGAACGAGAAACTGAGGAAATTGAAGTGAAAAGTTTTTTTGTTTGTGTGCTGTGTTTTTCTTAGGTTATCGTCGGAATATAATCGGAAGATAAAGACACCTAAGATCGAATCGG